TTTGATTGAGTTATAAAGTAAAATTACAGTGTAAGTGATGGCTTGGCAATTATGTGCAGGATAAGCAAGTGGGTGCAAGCTAATGCATTTCCAGATGCCTGAGCTGTTTCCATGTAGTAGACACGTTCCTGCGGATTAATTGCAGAGAGATTCTTTTGTAAAAAAAGGCCACTCCTGTGTTTAAAAATTGTTTTTCTCTTGATGGGAAGAGAAATGTTCATTCTCCCACCCCAGTAGTTTTTCAGAACTTAGGGCAATTGTCTGGAAAGGAAACCCTCTCCAAATGGGGCAGTTTTTTTCCCCACTTGAACAAGAATTGCAAGTACTCTCAAAATGGTGTTAATGCCAGTCAACAGAGCTCCAGTATCTTGTTCTTTCTTCTACAGATTTCAGTAACCATGTCATTAAAAAATAGGTTTCAGAAGAAGGTTGCTAGAAATGTGAATTTTTCAAAGATCATCTGTGGACATGAAGTGAGAGCACACAATCTTTACCTACCTCTCCAGGGTCTGTCAGAGGGCACATGCAATTGGGTACTCCGTCACTTCTACATGATAGAAGAAAACAGTATCCATTTAAATACTTTAAATACTTTCATCTTTTTTGGTTAATAAAATAAGGATTTTCCCCAGAGAGCAAGTTTTGTACACGTAGCTCAGGTTTTCCCAATTAACAATTTCAGACAAAATATGTGGGAGTTACAAGGCAGACATATCTAGAGAGCAGTAAACAGCTTCCATAGCTGTTCTGGGGATAGATGCAGCTGGAGAATCTGTTCTACAAATTTCTTTTCTCTGTATACTCAACCACAGTGGTTGCTATAGACCCTTCTGAAATGAGTAGTTTTTGCTTCAGCGAAGCAATTTAGATTATTGGAGGCAAACTGGTTTGCTTCATTAAAGTGAAACAGACAACCTGAAGTGATGAAGTGATTTAGGAGAAAACTTATCTCAATCTTCTTCCCTAACAGCTTCAGTGTGTGCTGAGATACTCCAGGATCAGTGGCTTTTATATGTGCATTTTGTAGGTAATCCCATGGCACTTCCTGAAGCTGCTCACCATGGAGCTCCCTTGGATATGCTTTAAAAGTCTTTCAGGTTGGCTGGCTTTGTTGAACGCTGCAGGATTGTCCACAGTGCTCAGTGAAGGTAGCCAGTTTGGAAGTATTTCAGCATCCACTAAAGAAGTTCCAGAGTGGCCAGATTTGGCATGTGATAACAGCCATTATTGGGGACACAAAAGATAACCTACCACAAGTAAATAAGACTCTTATTTGCCCTAACAAGTTCATATAACTTTTCCATATACTCCTTGAATGATTGTGTGGTTGTCTCAGCTGTGGTTTTTCTTCCCAATGGAGTTGGAATGACCTACTCATAAAATATTACCAGAATAGTGATTGTTTTAACAGGCATATTCAAACCTGATAGTGGTTAGGTCTGTTAGTCATGTAGTACCTCATTGTTTTTAAGCTTTGGGGGAATTTTTATTTAAATTATAAACCACATTGAGTGTTTGAAAATATATATTGTATATGAAAATATAGTAAATATTAAGCATTGAAAAAATATACAAATGCAGTGTGTAAAAATAGGTTGAAATGCATAATAACACAGCACAATCCTCCTACTTTCAAGTATGCTTGAGGTAGATCTTGTTCTATATCTGTAGAATGAGATGACCTTCTTCTGCCTCAGTTATGAATGTGTCTCTAAAATAATTCAAGAAGTCACTCAGGATATATATACATTAACCAGAAATCTGAAGAAGCAGAAATGGATATTTCTCTTCACCATGTGAAGCTCTTTTCAAATTATCTGGTTACTTACATGAATTGCTGCATGAGCTAGACCAACATATATTGTATTTGTATGACCGTATGATTGTCAACACAAAACAGAACTTAAAGCCATCCCAAATCTGTTAGTTTCTTATTTAAATGCAAGTTTTTAACTAGTGCAGGAAAAGAATAGGGAACTAAAGAAATTAGGTTACCCACAGACTATTTCAAAATGCTAACAGAAACAAAGCAGCAGGAAATTAAGGCTGTATGAAAGTGTATTGTCGAAGGCTTTCACGGCCAGCATACGATGGCTGGTGTGGGTCTTCCGGGCTGTGTGGGCGGGTTTTGG